ATATTTATAATTTTCAGTCATGCTATATGTATTCGACTGCATATAAAGATGGGTCTGCTTGGCTGTTTCTGCGCATCCAGCATAAGCAGGGAAAACCACCGGGACATCGGTCTGAGCAATACGGTTTTATTTCGATATGCGGTCGCAAGTGCTTGGGGCTTTAATATGAGAGCAAGAAGAAGCATACGTCTGACGCAGGGTCACAAGCAGTATTTATGGGTCGAATTGTTTATATTAACTTATATTCCAGACACGAGAATGAGGATAAGTATAAACATAGATTGACTTAGACTCGATGGGACTAATTCGTCGTGTTGATGTACTATCCAGAATGCGCGTGTGAGTGAATTGCATAGTAGTGCTGGCATATTACTATCCAGAATAAATTAGAGGAACAAGCCTAGATCTAAATCGCAATCGACGTTGCCAATGCAACGGTCATTTTTCAGGTTCTGATGTATTGGCGCTGTCGATTTCGGTTGAACTAAGATAGCTAGAAGCATGGTTCCAACAATCAAGCTGCTTTCTAGAAATTTGTCTAGCTATCTCGGCTTTTTCGTGTATGTGTCGATTGCATAGCGGATATGGATATTGTCCATATACAATTTCTCGAAGTACGGTCTGCTATTATCCACATGATTTTGCTCCCAAACCAACTCTTATTTATCTTGCGCATATTTATCTTTTGTTGTTGTGTACTCACAAAAGTGGTGTTGTACATTCATGCCCAAACCATCAATTCTAAGTGAAGGCTATAATGGATGAATACGGACAAAGCTCTAACGAGAAGAGGCTCGACTACTTTGCTGCTCCAGCTAAAATGCTGGACTCTGGGTTTCTAAAAGCCCTCGAAAGCCGAAAGCAATCTCATCATGGGGAAGGCAAGGATACCGATATATCATTGCTATGCCCACAGAATACGATTGCCAGTGAACAATCTGTTACAAAAAAATATTTATGCTGGGCCCTGGGGAGTGGGTCGTCACACAGCGCGACATCCTACTACTACAGAGAGGACAAGTAAATATGTAGTATTGTTGCATATTACATCTATTTCTTCATTCTAATAAAATTAGAAAGCACTATCTATGACTAGTATGCTTGAAGGCTATATAAATCAATAAAATATGTGTCCTTCGGACAATACATAGTCCGATCAGGCATATTGTTTTATCTCTTCTATACAGTGAGAGAGAGGGTCATGAATATGGGCATCAAAGCATCATACTTGGTTGGTTGTTATTTTTATTTAGAAAAAGCAAAATAAACAAACTGCAAAGAGCTCTGCAAACTGCAAAGATCCAAAGACTTTGTTTAAAAAAAAAGAAAAAAAAAGAAAGACTGCTGCAGAGTGCAGACTGCAGCTGTGCAGCGGTACAGTCAGGCCTCAGAGGCTCAAAGGCTCAGGACTGCGACACTCGGGAGTCAGGACTGACTCTCAGGACTCATCAGGCCCGCTCAGCAGCACTGAACTTGGCTGAAAATAATTTACTCACCTGACTACAGACTACAGCAGCTGCCAAGAAGAAGTGCCAGCTGAGACACTCTGCTGTGACTGAGTCTCAAGTCTCCACGGTACAGTGTACAGTGTGCACTGTGCAGTGAGTGTGACTGTGCACTATTTACACTGTACACTGTACTGTCTGCAGAGGCCAGGCCGCCAGAGTGCAGCTGTGCAGCCTGCAGAACTGTAGAGTGCAGAGTGCCGAACTGCAGACTGTAGAGTAAATACAGAAATAATAAGAGATTTATTGACTGATTGTACACAAATACTTAGCATTGTATTGGTTTGTACTTTGTGTTCTTTTTGCTTTTTTGTTAAAAAAACACCAACAAAAATTGGAAAAAGAAAAAGAAAAAGATTTAGTATGACCGATGACGTCTATGTAGAGAGTAGAGACTAGAGCGAGGATCAAACGGACTGGAGGCTATTTATAATTGTGGACGACTGGACAAGTTGACTGACTGTGGACATCATAATCATCATGTCCTTCAGTCCGTGTCTCCATGATCTTGGGGCAGGGGGCGGCCATGGGCTCATCACCTCATACTTCATAGGCTCATGGCCTTAAGCCTCATCATGCCTCACGGCCTTGAATTTTAATTGTCGTCGTAACCCTCTCCAGAGAAAAAGTATAAATTTACCACAACGAACTTTTAAGTCCGTAGGACTATGATGATATGGCCGCGGGCGTGAGGCGGGAAGTCGTTGACTGAAATGTGTGATGAGTTGATGACTGATGACGCACAATCTGTTTTGTTATTTGGGTTTTTTTAAAAGGGTATAATTTATATATATATATATAGTGGAACGTAAACGCCTTGTTCAACTTCAATTTTGTTTTTAAAAAACAAAAAAATTAAAAAGTCACACGGGTTAAAATTTAGGGAAAATGCCAAATGGGGAACCCCGTCATCTCAATATAAACGCTGAACGTAAAACGTATTGATCAGAATTAGGTGACTTACGACTAACTCGCTCACTCCTCGAGTCCTCGAGTCCCTGACTCGCTGACTCGTTGACTCAGAAGTGATGAGTGATGAGATCTGAGAGACTCGTTTATGACCCCTCAGAGGCTTAGAGTCTCAGACCCGCTGACTGAAAAAAAAAAGACCGCTATTTTAACAGAATCACGATTGAACATGATTGGCTTACTTCAGAGCAATGAGTAAGGTAGTTCACTCTAGCTGATCAAAGCCTGCTGTTGCTATGGCTTCCAGAAAGTTGTTACTTGTTCTACATATGTCATACATATGAGTCTATGACTATCTATGACATATTCACTACCCACCTGGGGTTTACCCGCAAGAGAGGATGAGGGCTTGCAATTTGTATACAACTAGTAGAAAAGAGGCTGGACCACTGGCGAAGAGCATGTCATCACACAATACAGAAGTCAAAAAAAGTGAAAAAAAGAAAGTGTCAGTCCTGCGACTCCTGCCGGACTTGTTCGTCAACATTTATTATTTTTATCTTCAGTAGAGAAAAGAGACTCTCTCTACTAGTAGTAGCAGAGGGTCATAATATGGCAACATATGTAGAATCACTGTATCAACATATGTATTTGTGTCCAAATAACTCGATAAAATCGGGGTATGCTTCCTGTAGTATGTATATAAATATACAAGCTTTTCTTTCCACACAGGCGTTGCGCGCGATAAGTTTATCGTCGACCTTATCGCACATTTCTTCTTCTGCTGACCCAGGCAACGCATCAAGATATTCAGTATATATATACTAATAGCGACAACAAACAACCTTAACATCATGAAGGGTGCTCTAAACCCGTATCGTAAACCGAAGTACTTCTTCGGTTATGTCTTAGTATTCACCTTTCTGTTGTCGCTCTATCCCAGAACATTCGAGTTGTCCAAGTTAAAGGCGTATACACCTACACTATATGATGACGTATATATTAAGTTTGAGGAGGCAGTGGCGCCCATACGCTCATTATGGGACAATACTACAGGTGACGAAGAGAAGCAGGAAGTAAGTGTCCAATATCAATCTACATGTTGAGCATACTCCAACAGTATACACACACACACACACACACACACACACACACACACACATTATATATATACATAC